ACGCAAACTATCTCACTTCTATATTATCACTGGCAACATTTTAACCTGACGCCAAGTATAAAAAAATAGAAAACACTGAGGCAAAACTCTTGAAGAAAGAGGAAACTCGAATGGGACTCGTGCAGCTGAAATAACTTTGAGAATTGTTCTTACTGTATTCAGACGGTGTCGTTGTTTTGCAAATTGTGCACCGCACTTCAGATGGTGTGGTTCGCAACGCTTCACCCAGGAGCTGTGTAGCACTTGAAATTGTTGGACCCCCCGTGTCCTGAAATGAGAAGAATTATGGTCTATGCAACCTTATGCAACATGAAGGATTTAAAAAGAACTGAAGTTACGAGAGAATGAAACATCGAATGATTACCACTTCTATTCTGGTCCAGTCATCGGCCGGTTTCCACTCGAGGTTCCCTGGACTCTTCGTAAACTTTGGTAATTTTGTTGACGACTCTTAATTTTCATAAAAATGACTATGGATACAAGAGGAATTTGAATGTAAGTGTTAATGGTCAATGTAAGTGCTTCAAAGCATTTTAGGATTAACTCGCTTTTATTATGGATGTGTTTACCTCTACCATTTTCATCGGCTGACTTTGGTATAGATTTCGGAGGAGATTTCACTCGTAGGGAACTGAAATTGAAGAGAACACAATGATTGACTGTAATACAAGCTGAAAGAACGGACAACCTCAAAGGTGGCTGGTCCTGGCCAGGTGATACATCAACGTTACGCTTGGCATCAATAAGCGTCCTCGATTGCTTATTCATAACAGTATCACTGGAATGAAGAAATTTATCACGAAAACATGTCAAAATGCTTGAAGAGTGGTTGTGTATCATCTGTGACAAGAAAATACCTTGACGACGTTTTCTCCTGTACAGTAGGACTACCAACATTGCGTTTGACGCCGTACGGACTTTTAAGGTAACTTGTTCATCGCTACATCACTAAAATGAGATACCTTAGAGAGCAAAGAAGGATAATGTGCCAATCAAAAAATCGCCCGAAACGATATGATGCCAACTGGAAAAAAGTGAAAAGATAAAATTTTCGCCGTTGATCAATCGCTTTCCAGATGCAGTACGCCCTCTACTTCAATTCGGAACCGTAGTGGTTTATTGAGGTACTATACGGCACACACAATGAGTTGCGAGTACCACTCGATGTACAAGTCAGTGTTCTTATCCTCTCAGACAAATCTGGTAGCCAAGACATCTTCCCGGAGGGTAGAGGGCTTGGTTTGCCAGGGTGAGAGTCGACATGGATTTCTACCCTGGACAGCGCAGTAGGCGGTGCCACTTGCCACGACACCACCTCCGCCTGCGGAAAATTGAGACGCGTAATACGTTGCCCTAGAACTTAGCCAGGCTTGTCAACAAGACAGCTTTGCTCTCTCACGCTCGCGCGAGATGAGGCTTTTACGGCTTTCATCAATCTCGGTATTATTTCAGAAGTCATCCTTCAAAGTGCGTAGGGACTCTATTGTCTGTGACTTCTGTTCATACGAACCAAGGATCGCATGTTGCTAAATCTGCCTTTCACCTAACACTGACATTTAGAATACTTCAACCACGGAACGTATTTCGAACCATCTTGGCGAATACGGAATTTCTTTCTGAGCGGGTAGTCTGCATTTGAGTAAGGAAGGTGCAGTATCCCATCCCCTTGCTAGGTTTCTTTTCTGAAATTCCGAGGTGAAAGGAGGTAAGAAGATTAGATAAGGACTTTTAGGTTGAAAGGTTGCACTCTGACTACCAACTTTTTCAGCGTGAATATTCTAATGTTTGAGCCATTCCCTGTTCTGAAGGCCAATCCTCAGAGCCCATAAAAAGTCGATTACAAGAATCTCTCCTTGCATAAGGAAACTAGGGAGAGAACGGAGACTGTCAAAAAGCCATTTCAAATGGCAGGGTGCTCAAGACTGCTGCATAAAAAGCTGCTACGGCTCAGAGCGTAAATACGCATGGAGTGTAGGCGTGCCCTCGTCGCGGAAAGAGCGTTCAAGGAGCCTAGCCCTTAGCGTCTCAGGTCAATACTTTTTGCCCACATGGTCAGCATTCTCGTGATAGAAAAGACTTCGTCACAATTCTGCTGCGTCAAGAAAAGAGAGAAAGGCGCATAAGCATCACCATGCTAGATTTGCTTTACTTCTCTGCATAATGAGGGCGTCGAATCCATGGAGAGCAACATATTCAACATCTTTCAGGAGCTGATTGGCGTATAGTTCACAATACGGCGATACTTTCATCTGAAATTGAAGTCTAAGAGCGCGTTCAGACTTCGCGATTGCGCGATTCAGTTTAGAACTGGATGACACGATAGCGAAGTCTGGACGCGCTTTAATAGTGATATGCCCTCTTCGCTTGCAATGGAGTTCCCTTTCTTCTTCAGTGTAGAAAAGCTCAGTACAGGTTGTGCACTGGTACTTCCTGAAATCAGAAATGGTCTAATGTGTCGTAAAAGAACTTCTCACAGTACAAAGCATAACCGATCCAATGTACGGCGAAACTAAGCGGGTAGAGTTACCTATAACCAAAAGAGCTGTAAGGTTTAAAGAGTTGAAAGCAGCTCACGGCACCATTAAACTATTCCTACCCCATTCCCAAGAACTCAGATCGGTTTTACACCGACTTTTTTTCTGCGAGGACGAATTTGGCTGAAATTTTGCTCATGGGGGTAATTCGACCTCCTCAACACGAATATCACCCATATCATATATCCGCTTAGCCCGAAACCGCCTGGCGCCCCGCCACAGGCGCCGGCGCCAAAACACTATAAATCACCAAAATCGATGAAAACTTATACACGGGGTTATTTGACATCCTGATTACGAATATGACATTTATTCTTGACGCTGGCGCTAGTGTAGGACAATATGATCATCTGCGCTCTGCTAAGGCTGAGCCTGGCCTGAAGGAAATCACTCCTTCTCCTAGGTTCAGCCTTAGCAGAACGCTAATGGCGCTGGTGTCGAGAAATAAATGCCATATTCATGATCAGGGCATCAAACAGCCCTATTACGCAAGTTTTTACCGATTTTGGGAAAAAGGTGTGGCGCCAAATTGGCGCCTAGTGGCATCAAATGGCGCCAATGTCAAAAATAGATGCCATATTCGTGATCAGGATGTCAATTAACCCCGTATACTTTCATCGAATCTGGTGAGAAAAGTGGTGAAGCCAAAATGGCGTCAACTGGGGCCAATCGCGCCAGTACCAGAAATGAATGTCATATTAGTGCATCGAATAACATCTATAGGCAGAGTCCAGCGGAAAATTTTTTTGAGTTTTTGAGATAGGAATAGTTCAATAGTGCCGACTTCACTACTTTGCACCAGTCGTAACTGAAAACCAAAATGTTTGACATCCCTACTCATATACAGCTGCAAGGTTTGGATAGTAAATTAGAGATGGACACTTACGATTACAGGAATTCTGAAAAAAACCTCACCGATATGTCAAATGCTGGTAAATATGCAGAGTTAAGTGATATTTGGACGGACTGCACGTATCACAAAGTAAGCACTTCAGAAATCCCCTGAACAAATGAAAACTCATTTCTCGAGAAAAATGAAGGTTTTTTCCAATAAGGGAACATCTAAACTTTTCGAGCAAAATTTCAGTTAAGAATACGAAACCCGCTAATTGCACCGTAGGGTTGGTTCGCTTACCCTGGGACTCTTTCCCCCTTAAGCTTGAACGAAAAAATATTACCCCTTAAGCTTGAACGAGATTCTCATTCACCCTGGATAACAACTATTATTGCAAAATCTCATATTACTGAACTAGCGCCAAGTAAGTAAATGCAGCCCTTCATGTTAACATGAGTTTAACACTGTCATAAGGAAGCAAACTAATAAGACTATGCAGTTCACGCTGAAAAGTGCGAAGAAACGGTTGTGAAAAAGTGGTCGGAGATTTTCGCCTAAGGCTAAGATGGAAGGAACTTTAGGGTGGCTGAACTCCTTTCTCTCGTGCAAACGATACTACCAAACCCCGGCGATGCTCCCCAGAACCGAAAGCCCCCCCCCTACGCCATTTACTCTCAATGCCCACAGAAACTAAAAGCCCCTCCCCACACCAGTACTCGATAGGGCCACAACTAGAACAGACAGGCGGACTACTGGCAGCAAAAACCATGCTGTTCGACAAATTTTCCACTGGGTCTATGCACGTCACCTTTCTATCTAAGAGTGATTAGTTTTCCCCCTTAAAATATGTTGGAAATCCTTTATGTGTTGTTTCAACAGTATCCCGGCTCAGGAGCAAAAGAGCAGCGTGGTCGCTCGTTCCAAATACAATACGTTAGCGCCAATCTAAAGGCATGTTTTGTAGAAAAATTAGAGAAGAGACGGGAGAGCCGAAATGTTTAAAAAAAAACTTACCGTCCTGCCGTGGGTTACACTTCGGTGGTGTCAAATAAGAAATGGGAAACAGACTAGTAGAAACGCTCACTGAAACAATACTAAATTCAATACCAAGCGAAAAATTGCGAATCCCTTGCTTGGTTGAACAGCTATGCTACGAGAGAAACACAATGAAGAGAATGCGCATTCTCGAGGGCGCACCGAAAAGTGCGCTCCATTGAGAATGCGTAGAAACTCGTCCAGAGACGAAGTATTGCGGAAGGTTTTGTAGAGGTTTACGATTACATCTACACCTTTCTTCACTTACCACTTCTATGGCTAGAAAAGTACCGTAGGTAAAGGGGGGGGGGCAGTGTGCGACTAAGTGGCCCCCTTTCCTCTCCAAACCAATGGAGATCATCCTTTTGGGGGTTTTAGAACAACGACTGTCGAGGATACTTTGTCTTTGTCCCAAGTCGCTCCAACAGTCCTACACAAGAAACTGAAAGACCACGTTCATAGCACGAATAAACCTTCGAAACAAAGGAAGAGTTGCGAGTCGCGGGGAAACGACAAGATTGATGAAACGACGGTATGTGACAGAGAATCGTAATTCGCGGGTGGTGGGGAGTACGCGTCCGACATCGCGCTCGCAGATCGACGATGCGTTACAAGATTCAGAGGTGGCGACAACAACCAATTCTAGGACCTAAAGTGTTATGAGTGTCTAAGATGATGGGGTTTGCATGAAGTCCGGTGCTCCAATCGACAGGTTAACATGACTTAAGACATTATCGCTCTCATCGCCGCCCGCGGCGAAGCGGCAAACTACGAATCTCTTGCCCGTCTCCCGACGGTAACATCATCATAGAAATCGAACGCTAGTCGTCCCTTCGTATTCGCGCTACCATTGCAACAGCGCTCCATGGTGTTCAGGTGGGAACGCAGCTACGGACGGTGTGGATCGGCGGCGACCGCGCTCTGGAAGAGTTTGGAGGGATGAGAGGGCACGCCTTCCCTAATCACATAGAACGGAATTGATCAGCGTTCCATCTGGCATTGATGGGCGCCATCAGTTTTTTTGAGAGAGTCTAGAAGATATAAAATTCACGAGGACTATCAGCGACGGAAGCGATGTTTCATCTGTCCTGTTGGGCACTTGGCAGGTTAGCGAGTTAAGCGCGCGTCATCGCCCAAAGTCTTTAACGGCTCCTAACGGGTGCGTGGCATACTTTTCGAATAGGGAGAAGTGGGTTTCGAGTGGAATTCAGCCTGCTTTTGAGTTAGTTGGTGTTCACATGTTCCTTTTTTTGGCCATTTGAAATTAAAACGAAGTGGTGAAATGCACGCGTCACAGTGTACAGAAGAAATTAACAGTGCGGAGAGAATAATTTTCAGTTCTCGGAACTAATAGCTGTAGAACTTACTCCCTAACAGCGGCATCGCAGTACAAGTTGACTAGGGAAGTATAGTCCACGGGCAGCGCCGGTGCGTCGTGTTACCTGGGTTGGGTCCTGGTGCGTATAGCGCGTCCCTCATTCCGCTTGTAGTATAGTGTAATTCGCTGCGGACTGTTGGGCTGTCAGGCAGTATGAGTGTATCACGCCATCAAAGCCGTTCTCTGCCTTCTTGTTGAAGCGCGCTTGCGGACAGACAAGTGGTAGAAAACGACGTACCACAAACGATATAATACAGCGTGATATCATTAACTCGCTTTACAACTGGTGGAGAACGGGTTAGGCACAACTCAGCTCGCCTGACACGCCCAACCGTCCGCAGCGAACTACACTATACCTGTATCGCCGCGACTGTGAACGTAACGCTTCACACCCCATCTTTTTACCTGTACTATCCTATCCATTTCAAAACCGTCAATCTTGTGCAATCGCAAATGAACGATGCACCTTGACATAGGAACACTGCGCTGCAGACGCCTGGGCGTCGTGTTTCCTACTTGAGCGGAGTTAGCAAAATCAATACGTAATTTTCTTGTAGTTGAATTTCCGAGTCTCCGTTTCTCGGCCATCGCAAGGAGTGAACACAGTTGATCGCTAAATTACGCTATTTTAAATCCATTGAGAAACAAAATAGGAGCAAATTCGAGTGCCTTGAATGTGCTGCAAGGTCATTATAGCCAGCTCAATGCAGTATTTTTTCCTGGTGTGATGACAGTCGTCTGCTGCTTCTAGGTGATCTCTGTCTCATTACAACGGCTGGTCTCGCATATGGCTACTGTGTGAGCTTGGTATCTAGACACAAACTCATTCAAAGTTATTTATATGTGCGATCCTCTTCTTTTACGATTCTGCTCACTAAATACCAAATAGTTGAGTCCAGTCCGTACTCTCCTAGTCGAACTTATGAACTAGCTAAGTGATCAGATTCAGTTCATCGGCGTGGAGCGTTACCTTGCAATACGGACAAATATGCATTGCAAGCCAGGGCATATCATTGGTTGGGGATTTTAGTCGAGTCCGTACGACCCCCCCCTTTTTTGGGGTTGGTACGACCCCCTCCCCTCCGGCCCTCTGTCCCTCCTCATCGAATCGAGCCGTCGTGCGGAGGTGGGGCGCGTATATACTACGCATGAAACAGGAAAATCACGAAAAGTCAACCACCACTCCTAGAAGGCCAAAAAGTAAATACGACCCCCCCCCCCTCCCAACAATGAGCAAGTACGACCCCCCCCCCCCTTTACAACGTCCATGAAGCGAGAAAAATCAACTATCAAAATAAATTTTTCTCAGCCCAAATACGACCCCCTCCTCCTGGCGGCCAAATACGACCCCCCCCTGTTGGGGATTCCCCAACAACGATGTGCCCTGTTGCAAGCGGGATGACGTTTGCAGCATTCGCACTAGGACCCAATTCGCTAAACGTAGCAGTTACGCGGCGCGCTGACTCCCTCAACTCAGTTTGCGTTTGCATACCCCGAGTTGTCTAGCTCTTTGTGTATAATTGTGAGTCCGTCTAATCAGCTAGCTAGGAGCCAACCAGGGCGCCGCTTAGAGGTGCTCTTTTGGTTGGATACTTTCATTTCGGCACAGTTGCAATCATTTCTTCGTACAACATAGGAAAAGATGACAGTTGTCCCAAATCGAAATATTCCACGCGTAACTCACGTACGCATCCACGTCTACCGCGTCTTAGGGATGTGAGGTGTAGTCCCAAGTTGTGAAACGTCACGAATTCTAATTCACGCTACTTTGTTTTCTGCTGAATGGCATTAAGTGCACGAAAGTGGAAAGAAACGATTTGAGCCAGGGATCAGGATTCAGGGGAGCTACAGGGAAGGAATTCCGGGGTGGCTGAACCATTCTTTGATGCAACTAGTGGTTTTCGGATTTCGTGGAGAATGGTTCACCCACCTTGCAGTCTTCATAAGACTTTACAGAAAAACCATAGCGGAGTTGCAGTATTCTTTGATCGGCAGTTTTTTGTTCCCTTTGTTGCGATCCTTTTTTAGTCGCATTGTATCGTACTCCTGATTGGTGCTACTTTCTGGTAATCTATGATATTTTTTTCCAGAACACCATATAGCGCCGTCGATGATCCCAGCGGAAACGCTAGTTGTGCCTCTTAATATGGCAGGTGAGCAGATTCGTGCGTTCTCGTCTCATTTCCTGTATTGCTCTCGTTTTCGAGTGTCTCTGGTACATACCACAGACGTACTACCTCCTAATGCTTCCCTTGTTTCTTGGTCACCTTCAGACTCAGTACGATAGTCTGCATTCATACTTTGCAACGGGAGAAAAGGAATAGGAGAACCGGCGATCGACGCTTTAGAAGAAGACGCGTTCCCCAAAATGAATTGCTGGCGACCGGTACCGATCAATACCAATCAACATCTTTGACGCGCATTTCTCCCAAGCGTCGATTCGCCGATTCTCCTATTCTTACAAGACGCGAGTTCGATATTGCTTTCATCTGGCGCGCGTTCTCTCAAAACGTCGATATGCCGATTTTCTCATTCTTCTTTTTTCCCGAAACGCTTAGTTCGATACCTATAATTTCCTTTGGCGCGCATTTTTGAAAAAAGTCGGTTGGCTGGTTAATCTGTTCTGCCGTTGTAAAGTATGAACACACCCTTATTGAGGAGTTCAGTCAGAGTAGCACTTGATCATTTCGAACCTTCTTTACATTCGCCGGAGGGAAACTTATTGGGGGAGTAGCGTGTACCTTCGCGTTCACAGCGCACACTCCCAAACGAGTACCTGCAAATGTCAGGAATTTTCATCTGGACAACATTACTGTTTTGCTCGGTTTTCCAAGGGATAGGGCATTTTGCTTCCCAACCCAGCGTTCTTTTGCGTTTTCGTTGAGGATTTGAGGTGGGAGGGGGAGGGGTGGAAACCCAGAACCTGCGATATTTGGAAAATACACAATTTTGGCTATTGCGTCAATCGCATGTTTTGTCGTCAACATATACGTTTCAGGTGAAGAACTCAATGCGCACGTTCCGAGATTGCCTGAGAGTCTTCGTGATCAGTTCGCGCATTCAGCAAAAGGTGTCTATTTTCGTAGTAATGAAGTGCGCTAAGAATTCTTAATTCAGCTGTTTTAGGAGCCTTTTCCATGGAGCGACTTGCCGCGGGCGCTGCAGGAGAAAATATTGCAGAATCTCTGCCGAAATGATCTAGATATCTGTCAGTTAGTGAACAGAAATATGAACGAGATCATACGATCCAATAATCGATTCAGGAAGAGGAGAATCATTGAATGTTTGAGGATGGAGCTGGTTAGTCACTGCCCAAACTCTTCCTAATAACTCAATTTCTCTCCAAATCTATATCTTATTAAAGACGCCATCTGCTATTGCTTGGCAGATGGAATCTCTCCGTGAATTTCGAAGGCAACTACCCAGCCGTAGAGGATTTGGCTCATTGCTATTTGTAAGTGCAAAACAAGAGTGGCAGAACTGCGTGACTTACTCTTTCTTGTATTTGGGTATCCCGTAAGAGCACACACGAGGGCGCCCTCCATTGGGCGGCTAATTCCCGTGTCGCCGGCTGCATCGTCGTAGGAGAGTCTCATGCTCTTTACAAAGAGTCATCTAGAGTGTCAGTCTTTGCTGGCCACTCTCATAATCGCAGGTCATTTTGCTGTTCCCAGATGTATTTTCGGAAAGGGCACTAGCAAACGGCATCATAGAAATTGATATTGGAATTCAGTACTTATTTTAACGCTGGTTCAATGTACCGGGGATATTTTGGTACTCTAGTTCGTCGGACTACGACATTCCCAATCCTGCAGTTTTTGTTAAAGCCACACGGAATGTTACGGAATTGGTTAATGCGCCGTTTCTGCGATTTTTTTTTCCTTGGGAGACGTTCAGTGTTAGAGGAGCAAAAAAAAAGAGTTGTGACCCAAGGCGTACGAGGCCTCGGTACTGATTTTTTGCATAAAACCTTGAAGTTCAGTAACTAGCATAAGGCACGATCAAGTAGCCCGAAGCAGGGGCAGCCTCTCATTGCTTTTTTCGTCACCAAGGCAGCGGTTCAGCAGAGTACAGACGACCAGAGACCCGAGGTCGCATTCATAGTCACACCTACCATTTTACTGCATTTTACACTTACCCCATACTATCGTCAACGCTTTCGTTTTCTTAAACACTATTACCTTATCAAATTGCAGAGCAGAGACGATTGCCTTACGCTACCTGCTTCGAACCAAAACATCCAGTTATTAGAACACCCCTTTTGCTAGTCGCGAACATTTTCGAAATGCATTTTGCTTTTACAGACTTTGGTCATGAAGATTCGTGTACAAGTAAAAAGGTAGAACTTATAGAGCTGTGGTTAGTTTGACTTCTAACTTCATCCTTTCAATCAATTTATTTGGTTTTTTATAGTAGTATTTTCGTAGTATACCTTAGTAGTATATTCTGAGGCTTATACTGACGAAGAAAGCATCTTCCGCATTTTCTATATGCAGGGGAAGGATACGAAGGCGCTCACCACTGTTGGGCAGCACTTTTTCGCTCGGCCATTCGACACTTGGTTTGGCATGAAGACAGCACTTCGTCTGCTCAAAAGTCATCTCAATAATGTGCTCACTGACGCTGATATTGCTCACTTGAAGCTAGTGGAGGTAGGTAGAGGAGAGCTTGTGAACTGTGTTATCAATTCATGAATATAGCAAAATTAACATGTCCATTTCAATTCCTTTTCTGGATAGTCACAAGCATTCTAAAAACCGTTCCTGCGATCAAGTGTCATGAATAGTTGCTGTTCAGTTATGAACTAGTAACTTATACGTAATTCCTCTAGAGAAGAAAAAAGAGATATGTATCCACCGTACACAAAATCGCTCCCTGACAGTCACACCGCCCTGCGGTCTCTGTGCAACCCCTGGCTCACAAATCGCTTTTTCGCATCTTCCCAGTAGTAAATATCATCCAATGCAAAGAAAAGAAAATGAAAACAACAAAAACACGCGAAGTTCCTAACCGAAGAAAACTTTCGGAAACTCTGCGCCCGAATTTAGGGTTACGGTAGTAAAGCACATCAAGCTTGCAACGCGTCGGTCGACCGGCTATAAAAATAGTCTAGCCAAATGTGCCACTTGTGTGCCCCTTCTCACTTTAGCTTGGGGCATCGTTTTATCCACATTTGGCTTCGTACTTACATCAACTTGCCAGCATACTTGCTGCGGGACCTTTTATCGACCCGAAAGTTCCACGTTTCTGAGAGCGGGCGGAGTTATGAAGGATTACTTGGCTATCCCTAAATTTAGTTTGACAATGTGGAAAATAAATTATATTTAGTAGAAGGCGAAGCCCTCACAATATCACCGTTAACCCTAGTGATATCATGGAAGTGTTTTCCAGGCCAAGAAGCGTTTTCTTTCTCATGCTTATGCATTCTGTAGCACGTAAGGAACACAAGTGAGCTTCCCTGCACTCTCTTGGCGATGCCAAAAAGGAGTGAGAATTCTGCGATGGAGCTCATTCGCTGACAGTCCCCGCGCTCAAGCAATTCGTAGGCGTCCTTCCTTGTACAAAAGAAAGTGCGCCTTCGAGCTGCTACATTTCTATGGCGGGTGTACAAGTAATCTGGTCCTCAGTACCTAAGACTGTCCCACTTTCGAGTACCTAAGACTGTCCCACTTTCGCGGCTTCCCAGTGAGTAACGAAGGCGCTGCGGCCCTCATAAGCAGTAGTGATTTTGAAGGATTAGTGAGCCTAAGAAGGCAGGATATCACCTGGTGAAATTAAACCAGCACATCCGGAGAACTCGATTAGAGGCTTGCAATTGAACGCTGTTATCCACAAGATTACAATCGCGAGGTCTATCTCAGTAATGAGCTCAAAAAGGTGAGCAGCCGATGAATGTGAAATCAAATCAGTACACTAGATTGACCTATAGGCTACACCAAGCTGTCCCCACGAGTCTGTCACGCTGTACACAGCACCATCCGATAAACGCGTTCAGCTGGGTGCATGAAAATCAGCTTAATACAGATACAGTATACGGCCGGTAAACTGGTTTGTGTAGTCCCTCACCAGAGAATTTTCTTTTCATTTTTCTTTTGGCATCCACACAGTGAGCGGGGGAAAATGAACTTCATTTTCGTGAACCGTGCATGTCTATCACATATTGAGGAAGATCATTTTCTAGAATCGCCCCGTAACCTGAAAGCCTTTTAATGGTTCTCAATTCTAGATGCCCTTGCCGGAACGCCTTCTGTCGACGATTTCGTCATGTGTTCTAGAAAAGGGCTGCCGTGTAGATCATGTTTCGTTCAGGGGAACGGAAATGAGTGACATTACTTCATCCGTGCTTCACCGATTCCTTTCTAGACTTGCATGTAACAGGGTAGATTTCATACAAATCTACTCATTTTCTTATGGATTCATTGGGCCAGAAGTTCTACAGTTTATTGTAACAAGGCCACATTTTTCACTTAGCCGTTTCGGATCCTATCCCATTCCAATAGATGACAGTATTCTCGCTCAAGTGACAGCTCTTGAATTCACAATCGGCGCTCCGAACATGATCACTGCAGATGGACTGAAATCATTCATCGAGGTCACTTCTATGACTATTTTTGCGCAACACAAGTAATCGAGGAATAATTTGTATTCCAGAATCTAATCAGAAGTGGGCGTCGAGTGATCCGTGGAACAATCAACACCAGTTTTCCCCTCAAAAGGATCGCATTTCCGGAAGCTTCTAGTTCCCATATTACTGTTAAGCTGAGACCGTTCAACGTTGAGATCACACCCAGGGATGCGAGCCAGCTAAGCCAGGAAATTTGACAACTCCACAGTATAGTCGTTTCTGCTGCGGACTCTGGGGCTCGTCAGGGGGATTGGGTTGGGTGCGGCGCTAGCCCGTTCTCGACCAATGTTGTAGCTTACCCGCTTGGAAGTCGGCTGCGCCACGCCTAACCCGGTTCCCCTAACAAGCCCCAGCGCCTGGAGCGAAGATGACTGCAACAGTTGAAGACCTTTTAAAACTACTTCCGTTCACTTAATATTGCTCCATATCAACTCCCTATTTTACGGTTGCAGCTTTACACCTGTAGAAATTGTTTTTGTTTTTTTTGTACATATTGTTCTTGTTATTGTTTTGCTAGCAATTGTTATTCT